CCCTCAACATGGCGGCGGCATCAGGCAGCGGAGGTGGCGGCAGGGCCTGCTTCGTCCTGGGTGCTTCGGGGGAGACGGGCCGGGCGCTGCTGCGGGAGCTGCTGGCCCGGCGGCTCTTCGCCAGGGTGACGCTGGTCGGGCGGCGCCGGCTGAGCCTGGGCGAGGAGACGGAGGCGGCCGTGGTGCGCAGGGCCGGGGGTGCGGAGGGGGGGGTCCCCCGAGGAGCGGCCGGGGTGGGTGCGCTGACCCTCAGCCTCCCCGCAGGAGCAGGCGGTGGTGGACTTCGAGCGGCTGAGCGAGCACGCCGCCGCCTTCCAGGGACACGACGTCGGCTTCTGCTGCCTGGGCACCACCAGGGCCAAGGCTGGCGTGGTGAGCGGGACCCCCCCATCCCACCTCACCTCACCCCGGGGGATGGGGGCAGGGGTCCTGCCCACCCTCGCCCCCTGCCTGCCTTCTCCCTGCCACACCGACCCTCCTTCCCGCTTTCCCCGCAGGACGGCTTCGTGCGCGTGGATCGGGACTACGTCGCGCAGGCAGCGGAGCTGGCGCGGGCGGGGGGCTGCAAACACTTTGTCCTGCAGTCCTCCCAGGGGGCAAACCAGCACAGCCGCTTCCTCTACCTCCGCGTGAAGGTGAGGGGGCAGCTGGGGTGGGCTCCCCGGCGCTCCTGTAGGAGTCACAAAATGCCGGGATGCTCGGGAATGAAGCAGGAGCTGAGGTCTCAAGAGACACAAATGGCTCTGGGGGTCCTCCCGGTGCTGGGGGACAAGGGAAGGGGGCTGGCTGGACAGGCGTGCAACTGGCTTCGTCCAAAGCAGCGCGACACCTGCACGCAGCATCCGCCTCCCTCTTCAAACCACAGAAAGACCCGCGGGGGTCTCCAGCCCGGCCCCAGCTGCGCAACCCCAGGCTGGGATGGATGGTGTCACAGCTAGGTGGGAAGGCTCAGGGCTGTGTCCAGCTGAGATGTGAACTGTCCAGAGGGAGAGAGCCCACAGGCTTCCCAGGTGGGACCATACCCATCGTGAAAGTTTTCCCAGTGTGTTGTGTGCTGCAGCTCCCAACATCTGCTGGTTTTGCTGCTGTCTGCCAGTGTCCTGTGCCGGGATCCCCAGGCTGGACACTGTGTCCAGTTGCAGTTAGCATGATGGTTGCAAGGGTGCGCTGCTGACTAAAAGTCGATGTGTCCACCGAGGACACTCGCCCCACGATTGCTGCTCGCTGCCCAGGCAGTGCCTGGCCTGCACCACCTTTGCACTGGCATTGGTGCCATCCTGCACACAGCTCGGCGACTCTCCCCCCGATTCACGGGGCGGCATGGATGGTGCTTGCAGTCATCCTTGTCTCCTTTCATCCTGCCCGACTGCTCTGACAGGGAGAAGTGGAGAACCTGGTCCAGGCCGTTGGTTTTGATCGCTGTACCATTCTCCGGCCAGCGTGAGTAGCGGTGGAGGAGGGAGGGCACAGGACTCAGGTGGAGGGTTGCCAGGGCCGTGGGCTGGGAGACGGAGAAAGAGAGAAAGGATGTATAAGTGGAGGGCTGGGGAGGGAAGTGGAGAAAGCCACCAGGTGCAAATGCAGCTCCTGGACAAGCACACCTCTTCCCAGCACTGCAGGGAGCAAGTGCAGCAGTCTCCCAGTGCCCATCCCAACGCTAGTGTCATGTGCCATGCAAGGAGAGGCTTGAGTTGAAAGCAGAGGTTGGGGGACATAGGTCAAAACTTGTCTCTGCACAGACCTTGACCTTACACGGAAAGGGGATACTCACCTGTATCCTTGCAGCTGTACTGTGCTCTTGCTGCCTGGGAGAACTGGCATCCTGGTTTTGGCAGCACTGCGGGGAAAGGAGTTTAATGTCCCAGGGCTCAGCTCAGTCACTTTTTGGGACCTTGCCAAAGCCCCGTGGCCCCCATGTGGGTTTATCAAGCTGGGCTGGGCCACCAGTGCAGCGGGAGAACCCAGTTGCTAGCTTTGCCCCAGGGGATGGTTTCAGCCTGACCCACCTTACCTCCTCACTCTGCAGGGTGCTGCTGTGCAACCGCCAGGAGTCCCGGCCCACAGAGTGGATGGCCCAGCAGTTTCTGGGTGTTGTGGCTCGGGTCTTCCCCACTGCTTACTCAGTGCCTGTGGAAACAGTGGCCAGGGCTATGGTGGCCAGTGTGCTGCAGCCAGGCGAGGGGAAGGTGGAGGTGCTGGAGAACAGGGCCATCCACAAGCTGGGAAAGGCAGTGCCACAGCAGGGCACGTAGGGCAAAAGGGATGGGCAGGAAAGAGCTTTGATTCCTTGGCCCGTTCAGATGCTCTTCGGGGCCGAGGATGAATGCACACGCGGGAGAGGAGCGGGCTGCTTGCATGGCTAACATGGAGATAGAGGTACACTTCTTTGCATGGCAGGTGATTCTGTCAAGTGATCAAAAATGCAGCTCCTGGCTGGTGGGTGAGGAGAAACAATGTGCTCTGCTGCCTGGATCCAGCATGTAAATCTGGCTAAAAATGGTGTAATCCAGGCAATTTCTTGAATTCAGGCTGTAAATAAAATCCTATGAGTGGTCTGTTTGTGCCAGCTTTGTGTTGAAATTGTGTTTGCCTGCTGCACGTTGCCAACCCAACTGCATCTGTTCACAGATTGTGTCTTTTGGTGACACTTCAAGGAAAGCACACGGGCAAGTGGCCATGCTGTAGACAGCCACAGGACAGCAGAGACAGTGAGCAGCTGCCTGTGCTGAGGCTGCACCCCACAGAGCACACGGTGGCACCAGTGCCGCTTGGATAGCGGAGCTCCTGCAAGCTGCACAGCAGTTTCTTCTGTGCCTGGGGTGCTGGCTCTGGCAGTAGGTCTCTGCAGACATGCAGCATGTGCCTCATCCTCATCGATCTGCTCTGGGTGCAGAGGGACTGCTACAGGGATGCTGGTGTTCAGATCCAGGCTGTCACTTTAGTACCTATAGTAGCATAAACACCATGCAAATAATTGCATTGACTTGAAGACACCTGTCACTGCTGGCTCCTCTGGGATTTCCTTATGGACACAAGTGAACCAGAGCTCAGCCCTGTTCCCAAGGGTGCTCTGCATGTGCAAGAGAGGCCAGCCTCATGCACATCTTGGGGTGGGCTTGCCCCTGCCCCACGCTGCCCGGGTGCTGGAAGGGGAGCAGGTCCCTGCTGCAGGCACAGAGCAGGCTCGACGAGCAGCACTGTGTCCCAGCTGCAGCCCTGGCTGTTCTCAGGCTTCATGCTTGGGGTCGAGGAACTTGGCAGCTCAGCAGCTGGGATGCAGGACTTACGTGACTCCCGAATTCCCAGCTGGCCAGAGTCCTAGTGCTCCGGGTAACGCTGCTTTCTAGGGTTTTCTCCTCTTCGACCTCACCCGTGGCTCCTGTGTCAGTGACTTGGATGCAGCAAGTAGAGGGAGCTGGGATCCCCCGGCTCCTTCCTTCTGCACAAGTGTTTTAATATCAGGCTGGACCTCAGAAGCTTGGTGGAGGCAGTGGGATGGCGTAACCCCACACTCTGTGTCACCCAAGTGACTCCTGAACCATGCACAGGGCTTAGCTCAAAGGTAACAAATGAGGGGCCACAGAGCCATAATTACTGATCAGACTGTCCTGGTGAGAGCAAAAGCAGTAACTTTAATGTCAAAAAGGAAATGAGAGGTAGACTAGCCTTAAAAAAGGTGATGTGCTTATACAGGGGAGTGGAAATGAATACCTGAAGCGGCAAGACCTTAGAGGAAGTGGAAGTTGCATACAGATGAGAGAGTAAAAAAAGAATACAAGCTCTGGAAAGTTACAGGTGAAAGGCAGGCCACAGAAGATTTGAGGAAAACATCCCAAAGGCATAAAAATTAATCATGACTATGTGAGAAGCAGAAAGCTCTCCAGAGAGCCCTGGGGACACGACGTGATCAGGCTCTAAGAGAAGGAAAGAGCCATCATGGAAAAGCTTGGTGAGTTCCTTGCATTGACCTTTGCTGTAAAGGAGCTCACGCTAGATTCATTCCTTAGGGGACACACATTTGCATGACTGTCCCAAGGCACTGAGGGGAAAAAAAATTTAAAAAAAAAAAAAGCTAACCCCATTTTTAGAACACATGGTTAAAAATCTGCCAGAAGGAGCACTCAGATGAATTGCCAAATACTCGCCTGGGTGAGAATTACAGTGATCCCTCTACCAAAAAGCCAATGTTGTTAAATATGATGCTAATTTTTAAAAAGTTCCAGTGGGAACCAGGAAACTGCAAAGCAGCGAGGCTACCTTCTATAAAAGGCAAGTTGTTAGAAAGGATAATAAAGTCTTGAAATAACAGAGCCCAGGATAAATCTGGTGTAATGCAAGATTCCACGTGGCTTTTGAGGGGGCAGTTGCAAGGCACAAACCTAGAGCGCTCTTGGAGGAAACAGGCCATTGTGTACACAAGACAATCTGGTCCTTGGAGTGTACTTGGATCTCCAAGAAACCCTCCCAGAAGGGCTCTTAAAGAAATTAAGCTGTCGTGGGAAGAAAAGGAAGGTCTGGGTAGTTTCTTATTGGAAATATTTTCTTAGCACTCTAAAGCCTTGAAATGCACAAACCAAACATTTCTCACTGGACAAAGGTCTGCGGAAAATACAAGCTATTTCTGTGTAACCCTTGTTGCTGCTCAATGGTACAGGGTTTCTTTCTCAGTGCTTCAGATAAGTCTCTGCTAAAATGCACAACTGCAGTCCCAGCACACAGTATCGCTTCCTTATCACCTTCTCACATGAAGCTTTGTCGCTCGTGTTGGACCTCAATTTCCCCAACTTACTCTCTGCATTCATTAAACCCCCACGCTGGGGCTGCGGAAGAGATTACAGAGTATTGGTCACGGAACTACAGCAGAGCCACAGGAGCAGGGGATTTGCCCACCGAGGACTGAAAGAAGTAAAGTAGTTACAAGTCTTTAGGGGAGAGACCCAATTCCTCCCTGGGGTGTCACAGGGCAAAGCTCTAGGCTCCTCCGAGCAGCAGGAGCTCTGCAGAGCTGGAGCCATGCCCCTGGCATGCCTGGAGAGGCTGGCTGCTTCCAGGCCACACAGCCCCAGCTGAAAGGAGAGGATGTAAGGGTGCTGGGTGTCTCCTGGACCGCACTCGCACAAACCGCCTGATCCCACAGATCTGAGCTCCCCCGGGATTTCCGATGCTGACTTTATTATTGAAGATTAATGAGAAAAAACCACCGCACTCCCAACAGCTCAGCAGCCGAGCATGAGGCTGCGGGGGCTTCCCATGTGGTCCCGTGGCCCCGCCGCCCTTCCCAGCCCCGGCAGCTGTGAGAACCGCCGGCACCTCTCGCCCACCCCTCGCTGCCACCCACTCCCCTCTGTGCCAGGAGGTGCCCAGCTGGCTGGCAAAGCACCCTGCAAAAACAGCACCTCGGCCTCTAAGGAGCTTTTCAAAGCAGCCACCGAGCTGGCAGGCGCTGACCTGGCACTTGGGGTACCCTGGTGACATCCCTGCTAGCAAACAAATGGCCCCCCGACGTGCTCTTTGGCCCCGAGAGCAACTGGCACAGCCCAGCAAACCTGCTGAGCTTGCAAGGCTGCAGTCCCTTGGAGAGCTGCACCCCAGCTGCTGGGAAACAGGGCAACTGGGCTATCCCCAAATTGGGGTAAGGCACCTCTATGCTAGTAACAGAGCCTCCCCCCAACTCCTCTGTGAAAAGGGCAAGATGATAGCAGCCTGCAAAGGAGTGAAGTACCTCCATTGTCTGTGTCTGCCGTTGTTTCCTTTCCCCCCTCTGCAAGGCACAAGAGGGGCTGGCAGGCACATCAATGCCTGGCAGCACAAAGGGGCAGCCCCCCCCCTGTCCCGGGCCCCAGGTCTGGCACCCCTACTTGGGTGCATCTGGGGAGGGGGGTCTCTAATCAGCCCAAGCCCAGGCAAATGCCATTTGAGCACCTCACCCTCTGAAATTTTAGGCTGTACTTTTTTCATTCGATTCGCATTACAAACCAGTAAAAAGCTTGCCCAAGCTCTCCAGGGAGGCACAATTTCCAGCAGACTTCTAGCTTTCGGTTACTGCACTCACGTGCTGAAACGCAGACACCGGCTTGCTGCGTAATCCCAGAACAGCAGGAGACAGGATTGCAATGCAGGTCCAAAGTCCACCCAGGATCCAGAGCCAGGCATACTCCTGATACCACTTCGGGTGGGAAAGAGGTCCCAGGGCTGGGTTTAAATGTAGCCCTGGTCTGAGGGGGCAGGTGGGGCTGATCAGGGCAATTTTGGCCATTAGTGCCCTTGGGGTGTTGACAGCCAGGTTGGGAGCAAGGTCTCCTATTCCCAGCTCCGAGTGTTAAACAAGGCACTCGGATGCACATTTTCATAGTTGCCCAGGCAGCCGAGGTCAGGGGCAGGCACGTGGCAGAATTTCCAGGGTGAACCCTGAGCGAGATGCCCAGGGGATGCCCTGGCTGGGGTGAAGCAGGAGATGGAGGCAGAGCAGAGCCGCACACAGTCCGTGCGTGCCTGTGCTGGAGCAGGCGTAATTGTACAGGCACTGGTGTGGGGTGGCAAAGGTCTGCGTGGGTGTGAGCGAGTCCTGCTACACAAACTGCGAAAGAGTTGGCGCCGAGGCCCCCACAGCCGCGCCACCTGTGTTTGAGGGCTTCCCCCTTGTGCCAGCTCTAGTCCAGCCGTGCAGACCCCCACGACAAGCCATGCCCCAGGTGATCCAGCTGAGGATGGACTGTCACATCCCCGGTGGAAGGCAGGAGGGAAGCCTCCTGGGTGGCTGTGGTTACCCTCTCCACTCCAAAGAGTGTTAGGAGTGACTCCGCTGCAGCTGCTGGCTGCAGCACATCCTCCCCCTGGGTGGCCGTGGGGAGCCATTAAGTCGGGGCTTGGGCTATGGGACCCCTCAGAGCCAGGCTAGTCCCTGTGTTTGCCATGATTTGCCTCTCGGCAGGCAGCCTCACTTGCTGGGGTTGCACCTACACCGTGCTTGGGTGCCTGGCTGAGCCTGGGAGAAACTTGTGCCGCAGATGTCACGACTGGCTCCAGGATTGCGAGTTAGTGGAGCAATCAAACAGACCTTACCAGAGCAAACAGAAACACCATGACGCTGTGCAACACCCAAGCTTTTAGGTGAACAAGGGGCTGTGTCCTGGTGGGGCAGCGATGGGGCAGAGCCATGCAGGGGGAGCTGGGGACCGGTCCCTGCTCAGGCCCCACACCCCACATCATGGGCAGCTGTGGGCTCTGGTGTGTGTCCTACTGCTCTGAAGGGTGTGGGAAAAGTGTCCAAATTTTCCACATAACAAAATTCTGGGTAGGAATTCTTTTTGGCCTCATCAAAGCGTCACTGTCACATAAAACCAGAACATTTGCTATGATTAAAAGATGTTTGGGTTTTTTTAAGCTTACATTAAAGTGAATTTGTTAAGGAACAAAGGCCACTGTTATCCACCAGCCGATAACCACTGTTGAAACTCTGGATATTTTGACATTAGCCACAGCCTTTAAATCAACAGCAAGACTTCTTGTAAGCACTTTTATTTTTATGAAAGTAACATTTTTCATTGGAAAAAACCTTGCTTGAATGAAGCATTTCTACCTGGCTCTTCTAAATACTGACCTGAAGCCTGATATGTCATTAAGAAGAAACCCTGTGGGCTTCCTGAAGCCCCCCCAAACAGCAGCTTGGCCCTTCCAATTTGATTACCTGATCTCACCCCAGAAAACCCATGTTTTCCCCCCCTCTGTGAGCTTAGAGCGGAGAAAACAAAATCCAGAAGCCGCCGGGGCCGGGGCCAGCTGCGGCGGGACGGACGGCATTGGTTACAGGGCTGGCGGGGGTCCAGCTCCCGGTGCTATATAGGAGGGAGAGGGGGGAGCTGGGCTGCAGACGAAGGCACCGCTGCTTGCGTTAGCCATCGCTCATACTGTTCTTGCGGCCGAGGAGAACGACAGCCTGCCAAGATGTGCAAAGGATTAGCAGCGCTACCCCACACGTGCCTGGAGAGGTGAGAGCGGCCAGCCTGGGCACGCCGTGGGGGGGACCGGGGGGCAGAGAAGCTCATCCTGCAGCACATCCCCACGATGGACATCTCTTACAGGGACTGGGATCGTCCAGCTCTGGACTGGGAGGGAGGGGAGGGTTGCTGGCGGCGGCTCAGCAGGATGCTGCGAGTGGCTGGGACCCTCGGGGTGGGGGCAAGCGCTGATCCAGTCCCAAACTCTCCCCTCCGGAACGTCTCTGCCCCAAACCCACTCCTCAACCTGAGCTGCTCCCCTCTGTGGTTCTGGAGCAGGAGCGCGTTGCCTTCAGATCTTAATATTTGCAAAACGTGGGGAGGAAAAAAAGCAGGAAAGCGGTTGCCTTTCTGGGGCGAAAACAGCCCTGGCTCCAAAAAGCCTCAAAATCCTCTTTAACTGCCTGTGTCTCCCTCGCACGTGGATTAGCTGGCCCCGGTCCCTCTCACGAGGCTTGGCCCTGTGCAGAGCACCCGCTCTGTCCCGCTCGTGGCACCCATCCTCATCTTCATCCCCCTCTGCCCCAGCGCTTGCCTCAAAACCTGCCCCGGGTAGTGGTGGTGCTTCCCAGGCTTCTCTCACCCTTTGGGAACCCAGGCAGGCTCCCAGCCATTTCCCTGCTGATCGAAACCTGCTCTCTCCTCGGAGCTGGAGGGGTTTTGGAGGGGGTCCGGTGAGAAGCAGAGATGGAAGGGAGGCCACCGCACGAGGCTGGGGTCTCCTTGCAGCAGCAGGGCACTCGATCCTTCACCTAAGGAGGAAACTTGGTAGAAGACTTTACACGTGAATTACCCAGTGAGGATTTCCTCACAGCTGCAAATGCCTTAGTCCTGGGTTTTAGATGAGGGTGGCATTCGCTGACCTGGGAGGAGCTCGAGAGAAGCACCCCCTTCGCCAGCTGAAGCTGTGCCACCGGAGGCTGACGCTGCTTGCCTGAAAGCAAGGCAGATTCCCATCACAGGCACAAACGGGAGCGCGGACCTGTGACAATGCCTTTGTCTGAAATGTGCCTTTCGGCCATCCTCGTGCCCCCTCACCTCGTCTCCTGCAGCCTCCTCCTCACGGGTGGCCGAGCAGCACTCTTCCAGATGTGGGTGATCCACAAGTTTCTGCTCTGCTGTCATATATGTTACTCTTCTGCTACTTTCTAATACTAAATTAGTCTTTTTTTCCACTGCTGCTATGCTTATGCTTTCACTGACCTCCGTTATGCACTCAAATCCTCACTCTTGAAGGCAGCTTCACTTACACTTCTATACACGGAGTTAGGACTGAGTTTGTCCTATGTGCATCGTTTCGTATTGGTCTACGAGGCATTTCAACAGCTACTTCCCTGCCAGTCTCACGAGACCTTCCTGCAGTTCCTCACAACTGGTCCCAAAGTGCTGTACCCGGGTAGTGCAGTTATCTGCTGCTCGGCCGCTGACCCCCTTCTCCCCACGCACGTGCTATGTTTAACAGCACGGTCCCAGCCCGTGTTCCCCTAGGACTGTCCCCACCGAGGAAAACACACCATGTCCCCTCCGCGTTGCGTACTACCTTTCCCACGCCGTTCCCCACGCTGTCAGCCATGAAATGACCTTCCCCCTTGCAGCTGGGTCTGGAGAGCCCATCCAAGATCCCCTGCAGAGCCGAGGGGCTCGTACCCCTGACTCTCCCCAAGGCACGTGCTTGCTGGCCTCTTCAGAGAGGGCCGATAGTTTTGAAGGAATCTCTTCCTACTGCCAGAGCTGCCTCGACTCCTCTCCAATAGTCCATATTTGTCCATGTGTCCACCACGGCTCTCGGATGCAGCTGCTGCTGACTTGCCCGTACAGCATCACACTTGCAGCGTTATGGCTCCTCGAATGCCCCCTGGAGCCTTTTTTCCCCTCAAGGGGCATTCCCTCCGGCACCTCCCTGCCCTCGGGCACAGCAGCAGCTTTAGTTTTCAGCTCTAGCTTTAACTTCTCTTTGAGCTTCTCTTTTTTGTTTTGTTTTTAAAGCTGGAGTCTCTCCTGGCCCTCCCCAGCAGCCTTCTTGCTCTTGATGTGTTTGACAGAGCCCATATTTTCTTTTAACGCTTCTTGGAAGCTGTTTCTCAGACTTTTTCTTGGCTCGCTCCCATATGTTCTCACACTTAACCTTCCACAGTTTACGGTCCTCTTGCTTTTTCCCACTCGGACATAGCTGGGGGGTTTTTGAAGGATGCCTTTTCATTTATAACTGCCTTTTTTTACCCTGCTGTTTAGCCTTTGCTGAAGCCTTGCTTGAAAGCTTGTAATACATCTGCTGGAGGATGCCAGGATGATGTCTTTAAATAGTGCTTCCCTCCCGCCAGCCTGCAAGCGCTCAGCCCTCTGGCTGTCCTTTCTTGCTGCCTTTCAACAAGCTTCCTCATCTCCGCCGTCTGCCCTTATTTCACAAAAATCCCACAGCCGAGGACTTGCTCGGGGTGGTGGGGGGAGGTTCTTGCTGCTGTCCCCACTCCAGAACCTGCGGAGCTTCAGCAGGGTGGGCAACCACTGATGGTTCATCAACAATGCTATGGGATGGGAAGGAGATGGAGCCATCCAGGGAGCCCCATTGGGAGCAGCAGGCAGTGGGGCTGCGACATAGGTCCAACACCAATCCAGGAGACCAGGCTGGGGAGAAGCTCACTTAGAGCACAGCCCAAAAGAAGGCAGCCCCAGGGCTGAGCTTGAATGGAGTCTGGGGCCGTGGGCAGGGTGTGGGGCTCAGCTGGGGCTGCTCAGGGCCATTAGGACCATTAGTGCCCATTGAGCCTGACAGATGTTGGCCATAAGTCACTGTCAGAGGGTGGGAATCGGAGAGCAAGATTTTGAACCACGTCTAAGCATTATCCAGGAAAGCGCTTGCTGCTGCGTGAAGCCGCCGTCAGTTGCGTCCAAATCTTGTGTGTGTGTTGGCTTTGTCCGCAGCAGGGTAGGGGGGTCCTCAGGTTCTGCTCAGACAGCGATACCCACAGTGTCTTCCCACCTCATGTGTTAGATTTGGCTTTCTCCAGGCACAACCCATGTTTTCCCCCCTGCCTTCTCAGGACCCCTGGCATCCACCGTCCTCTCTTCAGAGGTGGGTGAGCCCCTTCCCCCTTGCTCTTCACCCCTGCTCCTGCCAGATGAAACCCCTGCGATCGGGCACACGGTCCGATCGCCTGGAGGGGACCGTCCCTGGTGCATGGCACCCGGCACCGGCAGCAGGTCAGCCGTGGCAGCATCCCCAGCTCTGCCCTCCTGAGCTTTGGGTGGTGGCAGGGAGAGGGACCAGGGGGCAGCTGGCATTTCTGCTTAGCCCCTCTTTGAAAGATGCTGCCTGAGCCCACGTGTCCCCTTCCCTGCGGAGCACCATGGCCACAAGCACAGATGTCTGGGAAAGCAGAGCCGAGGGAGAGGCTGTCCTGCCCCATCGGCTTTCCTGGGGCACCCTCTGCACCCACCCATTGCTTTGGTGTGAAGGGGGCTGCGGCTCCTGCCCCCTTCACCTGCTCCTCCTTGCTGCAGCTCTGCCATCCATGTGGGTCGTGGCTGTGCCACGGGGGTCCCAGCATGGCAGTGCCAGCCTGTGGGGTGCCAAGGGGCACCTGAGGCTCGCAGGAGAGCCAGCCCCAGGCTCTGGGCATCAGGAGCCAGCTCCGGCTCGGAGCATTTATCTGCATTTTATTTATTTTTTGGAGGGAGCAGGACGAACGGTGCATGGCAGCATCCCTGTCCCAGAGACACCGCAGTGTGGGAGCGTGGGGACCTCATCACCCTTCACCTAAGGTCCTGGTCTTTCCAGGCAAGATTCAAGTTTTCTCAGAAGTGCAAGCAGTGGAAGCTGTCCCTGTAGCTGCTGACATTTTCCATGAAAACAGTTGGGTTTCTGGGTCTGCTCTGCTCCGACATAGCAAGGGTGCGATCATCCACAGAGGGCTCCTGAAAATAAACAGCAGAGAGGAGAAGCGCAGTGAGCCCTGAAGCCAGGGAGCTGCTGGTACCGGTTTTGACAGCCACACTGTGGCAAAGGCACTGAGCCCAGCCGGCTCGTGGGGAAGCCGTGTGTCCCCTTGCTCTCATTCACCTTCTGGGCCAGCAAGATGACCTGGAAGCCACCAAATGTTGCTGTGCCAGGGAAAAGCCCTGCCCTGCAAAGATGGGGTTTGGGGGGGTCCATTTTCAGCCCTTTATTTCTTCAGTCTTATGCAGCACACCTGAGTGTTCTCTGCAAAAGCTCGGCTCGCTCTTGCTACCAAGGTGTGGCAGAGAGGAGCCTCCTCGGTGGCTTTAGGTGCTCGGGACCACGTTGCAAATTGTATTTCCACAAAAGGGAACATTTTGGGAGACAGCTGGACCTGCTGTCAAGCCCCGGGACCCCTCTTGTGTCTGTGTCCTCCAAATGGAGGTCTGGAGTGTGGCCTCGTGGCAGCGGTGCCTGGCACTCAGCCTTTGGCAGTGGGAATACTTCCACTCCCGAAACCCTTCTTCCCCCTCTGCCCAGGGAAAACAGCACCCGGCAGGTACCTGTTTGCAGGACCCTTCCCATTGCAGACATAAGGCTTATATATTACTTATCTAGAGACTACATAGATATATATATTAGGGCACCCTGCTCCAAATGCTGTTGGCAGCGGGGGGCTGGCGGGCGCAACGTGGGACGGGGCTCGGAGTGGGGCTGGCACCGCTGTGCAGCCCAGCATGGCACCCTGCACAGCCTCCTCTCCGAAGGCAGCTCCTTCATCTCACCAGCATTTCATCCAGGCTCATCACTATAGAAACTGAGTGCTGCACACACATCCCCTAATTCATCCTCAGAGCAGCCCGCCAGCTCAGCTGATAAAATTATCCCGGCCACAGATGGGGACAAAGCAAAGAGATCAAGACCAAGAGCTGCCGCTAATTCTGAGTGCCTGGTTTGAAATGCCTCAGCCAGGCGCCTTTACAGCATTAGGGTCCATTTGTTCATGTGTAATTAATTACACAGCTTTGTACCTCGCCAGTGGCCGTGGCGGGGTCCGTGCGGGCACAGGGCAGGGACCATCCCCACTGCCCCGTCCCTCTGCCTGACCTGCCTTTGCTCATCCCCTCCTGCAGGGCCAAGGAGATCAAGACCAAGCTGGGCACACTGCTCCAGAAGCCCGACTCGGCCATTGACTTCATCATTCCCTACCCGGAGAAGCCGGAGAAGCCGCCCAAGGCCCAGAAGTGAGTATCGTGCCGGGGCGGGCTGTGCTGGCACCCGTGCGCGGCCGGAGGGCTGGATGCGAGCCCCTTTTGGGATGTGGAGGAGCTGAAGCCCCTGCTGCGGGTGGGCACGGCTGGCTTTCCGTGGCAGGCAGCTCGTGGCACGCTCCTCGTGACCCGCCGGCTAGGTGTGGACTCTGAGAGTTACGTCAGGGCAGCATGAGATGTGCCAGGCAATACAGCTTTATGGAAAACAGATTTCTCGCAGAAACTCGATTTACTTTTGATGAGATTTCACGTTATTCGATAACGGTTTTGCCAGAGGCGTTCGGCACGTGGACTTCTCTGAGTCACCCGCCTGAGCCCAGAGGTGCCAGCCTTGCACAGCCTGCTGGCTTTGGGGTGGCAGCGTGTCCCCGAGCTGGGTGCACGGCCCCACGGCGTGGTGCCTGCCTCTGGGCAGCTCCGCGACGATGGCACCTTCTCACTTTATTGCCTTCGTCCTGAGCCTCTGCTCTCCAGCACCGAGCTGGTTTAATGACAAAGCAAAGCAGAGGAGAAGCCGGAGGGGCTGATGGGCTGTGCTGCAGGATTAACAGTTCAAAGGAGGCAAAATAAACCTTGAAAAGAAATTTTGGCTTAAATCTAGAAGCAGGATGGCTGCCTGGACGTAGGGTGATGGCCTCACCTGGGGTACCTCCAGCCCAGCCTCGGGCGGCTGAGCCAGGTGCCTGAGCTGCTGCCCTGACCCCTCTTTCAGCCACCCCTCAGCCCTGCCACCATCGGATGCGTGCGAGTGTCCCGGAGACACGTGCCCCTGTCCCTGGGAGTTGCTCCCTGCCCTGGAGCTGTGCCCAGACACACACGGTGCTGGAGGACCCAGGTCTGACAGCACCCAGACTATCGAACTTGCTGGAGGTAGGAGAGGCTGACTGGCCCAGCCAGCCTTGCTCAGGGCACCAGGAATGAGGGCTCGTCTTGAAGGGCTTAAGTGGCCACGTAAAGACAAAAACCAGGAGAGGCACGTGCCCACTCTTGACAAGGCCACGTTTCTATTTCCACTTTAAAATCACAACTTTTTCTTTTACATCAGTCCCCCTCCCCACGTTCCCCTTCGGCCCAGGCAATGTTACTCTAAACTGGTAACCCTCCCCCAAGGGATTGCTAAAAACCCCAAACAAACCAAAACAACCCCCAAACCCAACCCCAACGTGCAGACAAACACCCTGCTCACCCCGACGAGAGCCTGCAGAGAGCTGCAGTCACTTTGATGGCTGCAGCAGGGCAGGCGGAGCGCGACGGACGGTGCGTTTCGCACTCGGTCGCTGCTGTGCCCTGGATGCCTCTGCGAAGGAGACACATTTGTCCCCATTAGCTGTCCCCGCAGAAAGCCTGAGGACATCTTCGCTCCCCACTGGCTGGAGTTGTTTTCTCTCGCACTGCATCGTTGCGCAGCCTCGGCATCACTCACCCATCAGCATCTCACTCGCAGTTAATATCATCCCTGGGACATTCAGATAATGGAAAAGTGAATTTGGTAGTTTCCAGGAAATCTGGATTGTGTTGGCTCGCTGCAGCGATGCTCCCCCTCACCGGGGTGGGGAGACACCTGGCAGAAACGCGGGGTCAGGGGGAGCTTTTCATCCTTGAGAGCAAGTGCAAATGCAATTCGAGGTCCAGAAAGTGAACGATCAGAGCCCCCATCATGGTCTTTACTGCTGGGTGCCTGTGGTTTGATGACAAGTGAGGACTGGATACCCAACCTGAACAAGACTCGCATTTCTGCCATTCTCCTCTCCCCGCTGGAGCCACCTGAGGCAGACGGCTGGGTAGGAGCACCCTGCACTTTCCCCAGACCCACAGCTGAGCACCAAGGCCCCCAGGACCAGCAGGTTGTCCTGCCTGCTGCTCCCTCCCCGGCCCCAGGGATGCTCTGCTCAGTGATGCCCAGCGCTCAGGGGCATCGGGGGGCTTCCCTTCCCCTCCAGCACCGGGCATCGGCCCCCGTGGTCAACACGGCAGGAGCCCTGTGTCCCAGGGCAGCTTGGTCAAACTCCTTGGAGCTTAAAAAAAAAACCCCAAAACAACAAAGCCACAAACAAAAACACCCACAAAGCTCTTTAGTCCCAGTACAAGTGCCGCATTTAAAAAAAAAAAAAAGAAAAAAAAAAAGAGGGAAAAATACGCCCATGAAAAACACTGAAGGTTTTCACTGGGGAGGGAGGGAGCCGAGGCCTGTGTCCTGCCCTGCCGCGGGGCGTGGGAATGGGACGGGCGGGCTGTGGGAGTGGAGGGGCGCTGACCCCAGCCCCAGCAGCGCAGGGCTGGAATGATCCAGCCCCCCGCAGCAGGGAGCATCCTTCCCCACCCCAGCGGGAAAACAGGGATGCTTCCCAGCTGCCTGCAGAGCCCCCTGCTCTGCCTTCCCATGCACCGGCGCTGGGGCAAGGAGGGGACCCAGGGCTGCAGAGGGGACTCGCTTTGCAGTTCAGCCACATCTCTGCTCCAGCATCGGGGAATTCGCCCACCCAGCCCCATCCTCACCTTCCCTGGCACTTGGCTCTCCCCAGGAGGAGGGTACTCGTGCTGGCATGCAGCGGCATCCCCATTGCTTGACCATCTCCCCCACTCTGCAACAGTCTCCACAGACCGTTACTCCATTCCTCCCCACTTTTAAAGGAATTATTTAAAAACCTGGATGCCAGACCAGGGCTGTGGGGCAAGCATGGACCACCTGGGCTTTCTTTACTCCCTTCAGGCCATCACCGGAGGAGGCTCTGCAGTGGCGCGATTCCCTGGAGAAGCTCCTGCAAAATCCCTGTAAGTTCACGTCCCCCTGCGGTCACATCCCCTCATCCCACGTCCCCCCTGGTGCTCAGCAAGGGCTCAGCCCCCCTGGGACCACTGGTGCTCAGCGAGGGCTCGGCCCCCCCCCCAGACGGGCTCGCCAGCTTCCGCAGCTTCCTGCGCTCCGAGTTCAGCGAGGAGAACGTCGAGTTTTGGGTGGCCTGTGAGGACTACAAGAAAACCAAGTCCCCCGTGAAGATGGCAGAGAAGGCTAAGAAGATCTATGAGGAGTTCATCCAGACCGAGGCACCCAAAGAGGTCAGTGGCCACGGGGCAGGAGACGGTACCAGGAGGTCCCAAAGGAGAGTGATGGCTGCAGGGCACCTCGGACCACGGCTGAGGGGTTCAGAGGGCCGTACCCTCGGCAAGGGGCAGCCCCATCCCCACGTGCTGCACGCCCACCCGTCACAGCCCTGGTGCCCCTGTTTGGGTGCTCAAGCTCTGCTGGGCTGCCTCCTGCCACGGGCACCTCCAGCACACGCCTGGCCCCCTCTCCCCACAGAGGGCTTATGTTAATCATAAGGAATGAGAATTTAGAGTAATCCTCCTCCCTGTGTTAGCTTTGCTGCAGGGTAGACCTCATCCTTACAGATTAGCCACCAATAATTCCCCCAGATAAGTGAAGCTACTGCAGTCCCTCCCCGTAACGTTTGCGTGGTTGTTGGGGGGACAGAGCAGGCGAGGGGAGATGCCATCACCCACCCCTCACAAAGACAGGGCCCCCATTCCTCTCACACTCCCACCACAGGTGAACATCGACCACTTCACCAAGGCGGTCACCATGAAGAACCTGGTGGAACCATCACCAACCAGCTTTGACATGGCCCAGAAGAGGGTCTTTGCCCTGATGGAGAAAGACTCCCTGCCCAGATTCGTGCGGTCGGAGTTTTATCAGGAGTTAATCAAGTAGCAATGCGGAAGGGCTGTGCGAGGCATTCCCCGCGGGCGGTCCCACTGCTTCTGTCTGAACACCTGCCCCTTCTCCTGCAGCCGCTTTGCTTTCTTGATTCCACCCTAGAAGAGCACCCAGGGGTGTTGCTAAACATCTCGCCCCGTGCTTTGGACTGTCAGATGTCCTGATGTTTCCTCTTTTATGGTCTCTTTCCTCTCCCACAAAAGACCAATTAGCAGAAACCCCTGGTGATCCTCCCTGGGTTTGGGACCCAGAAGGGCAGTGGAGCAGCCCCAGCCCCGCAGTGACCGGGAGCCACTCGGGCAGCCGGCGCGTCCCTGGTGCTGTGGGGCTTGGCTTTAGTCGGAGGCTCTGAAGCACCGGCTCTGCCTTCTTAGGACTTCTTAGGCCATGACAATTTTTCTCCCAGTTTTGCCCATATCGCTAGTTTGGCTCAGGCTTGCTCCCTCTTCCCAGCTTCCCAGGGTGCTGCTGAGGCTGCGCAGGGCACCCTCACGGGTGCTCGCCTCCCTGCCTAAATCCAGCTCACCTGCAGCCCCAGGGTGGACATGTCCACCGCACGATCGCCATCACCCTGACTTTGGAAAGCTGCTGATCAGCAAGCACAGGGATGATGGCTGTATGGCAGTGATGGCTGTACGGCAGGGACGGTGGTCCGGCTGGGACGGTGGTACGGCAGGGATGGCGGTGACGGCTGTACGGCACCGCGGGGTGGACCTGGCTGGCACGAGCGGTGGGCAGAGCGAGCCTGCAGCACTGCTTCCCCAGTGACTCCACTCGGAGTCAGCTGTCAGGCAGCCTGTTTGCTTCACCCTAAAGACAGTAAAGAGGATAAAAACGAGATCTGTTTGTTCAAAACACCGGGACTGTTTAGCAACCCAGACTTCCCGCTCGCTCCAACCACTTGCATGACGTACCGAGCTCGCAATCTGCAGCCTGTGCCCGTGTCCCCAGTGCCTACGCGCAGCCTTCAGCGGTGCTGGTGGCTGGGGGTGTGCTTGGATTGCAGCTTCGGACGTTGCTGCGGTGGCTTCTTGTTCCAGTTGCTTCTCTCTGCAGTAGGCACACCAAAGCGATACTTCTGCACAAACCCAGTTGAGGGGCATCGATTAGAGGAGGGAGGAAAATCATGTCGGGGGAAAAAAATCCGCAATTGCAACTGTTCAGATCAATGAAAAAAAAACAGACCAACCCCCCAAAAACCAAACCCAAACACAAAACCATCGTTGGAAATATGAAAAATAAACCCCTAGCTTCTTGAACAGACGGCAAACTCTGCTGAGTTTGTGTAGCCTGCATCTCTCTCTCCTGTCTCCTCCTGTCTGCCCAGGATGTGTTTCCATAAGGCTGTCTCTTAAAAAGACCAGCTCTTTTCAAATGATTCAAAGCCACGCCACTGTTCACTACCAGAAGAAATCACATCTGAGGATGTGGCAAGGGCATACGCAAAAGGCGGCTGGCGTCTCATGTCAGCCTTGAGGCGAATGCGATGAACTCCCGCTCCGTGGGGCCTGGACGTCCCTGCGATGGTTTCCTGGTGCAGCATCTGCGCGGCCGTGGCTTGCAACGAGCTGCTTCAGCCGGCAACCCGACAGACGCAGGCAAAAATAACAAGCGACTGTGCTCCCAGCAGGCATCCCGGACCAGCCACCCCCCCTCAGGCTGCTCAACCTCAACTGCAAGTCATGAGACTCCATCCGAAATGCAATAACATAAACAACGGGTTTGCCAGCCTCTTCGAGACTTTAAAAATCTGATCAAAACCCCACCAGCCCCAAATATTTACACGTCGTCACTATGGTGACGAAGAAAAATACATCCCGAGCTGCAGGAAGTGGGCTGCTTTTCCAGGCAGGGATGGGGAGGCAGGGGAAGGATGGAGGCCATTGCGAATGTGACTGGTTTTTTCCTCTGGAGCAAATGGCCTGGGAACGTCGGTGCTGGAGCGGCAGGGGTTGATGCTCACAGGGCATTCCCCTGGGGTGAGCGCGGGGGGCGGCTGGGCAGCCCCAAAGAGCCCGCGAGCGGCAGGAGGGTCCTGTCGAAAGGGCGCAGGATCCCCTGGTGGTGCCCGCTGCCCGGAGCTGGTGGGCAGCAAGGGGGAGGCAGGAGCAGGGCTGGGCGCTGGAGCGGGGGCTTGGCCGGCCCTTCTGCCACAGGGTGCTCCCACCGCCTCTGCCCAGGCGCGCTCCCTGCACCCCCCTACCGTCTCCACGAGCTGGTGTCAAGACAAGCTGGTTCAGCATGTTCAAGCTCCCTATTCATAGCGTGACTGATAGAAATGCGAAAGCAAACAGGCTTCCCTGCAGAAAGACCCAGATCTTTCAGTTTTACTCAATCCTTTGGCAGCTATTTGCAGATACCCTCACGTTTCACCGTTAAATGCCAACGCTGGGATGCTGCTGGAGGCTGGCTTGCTGCGCGCCATCAAAACCTGAGATGTCGCTAGCTGCAACAGCAATGTGTGGGGCAGGGAGAAGGTGTCTGGGTATGTATGTGCCGAAAAGAAAGGTGGAGGCTGTATTCAGGAGATGTGAAACAGCTCTATTGGAAATCCCTCCCCAGCTTGATTTCTGCTGAAATATTGGAAACCTGCTTTCGGGGGTGATTGAACAGGTGCCAGCGAGCTACCTGGTGGCCATAAAATGTGTCCCCTGAAGTGTTTTGGATCTCTTGGGAAGTTGTGTTTGTGTAGAAGGGTCGTTTGGCTAATTACTCGGGCAGGCTTGCCCCAGAAAGGCAGCAATGCCTGTACCCACCCCACGGCCGAGCTTTCCACAGGCCCAAAGGTATTTACTGTTGGGCTGATACCAACCATTATATTTCTGGTAGGAAATACTTCATGTATTTTATCACTCTTGCTCTCATGAAATTTGGTATATGTATGAGCACTGTACACACGACATTGTACATCTATATCCCTATAGACATATACAAGTATACACACACATATATACATACTCCTAACACGGGCATCTAGAACCCAGTGAGTCTGAGAGCCGAAAAGCAGAGCGTCTGGATATCGTGCTTGGGGTCTGTCGCAGAGATGAGCATGCATGGCTTTAGCGCAGTCCCAGACCCCGCTGAGTGAAACCTTGGCCATCCACCCGACAGAAAGTGAAGCTGCATCTTCCAAAACGTCCTCTGAGATCACCCTGTGCCCGTGGCCCCCCAGTGCCCGCAGCCCCAGCGCATCCCGGCGCCCGAGCCGGTGCAGGAGGCAGGTCTCGTGCTCTCCGAGGGACCCCAACCCCTGCCGTGGGGCAAGGCAACCCCACGCTGCAACCAGGGTCCCCCAGGCATCAGGCGCTGCCTCCCTGCCTCCCCAGCGCCCGCTCCTCACCACGGGGACGTGCGGAGGAGGGCTCCCTGCAGCCGCATCCCTCGGATTGACGCTGGGGGATTGTTTCCTGTGTGTTTTCTGGTTAATTCGGTGACCCGGACCCTCGCACCTCACTGGCCGTGGTGTGATACACCCAGCTCTCCCTCCGCACGCTGAGGCAGGGCTCTGCCGGTGCTGCCTGGTCCCGGTCCTGGGAACTGCCGAAGGCTGCGAGGCAGCAGCGGGAGCTGCCCGCTGCCCACGGGTGTCCCAGGGGTCGCCTCGTCCTTGGTCACTCCCTGGAGGGTGCTGAGTGCTGCGGCCAAGGGCTGGAGCGAGGTCAGGAGGGAGGATTGGCTCCTCGCAGCCACGAGCAGCAGGTTTTCACTCTGATGTTCTCCAGGTGATTTCCATCAGAGATCTTCACGGGGTAAAGACGTGGGGCACTCGTGTGCATTGAGGAACTGGTTGTGTTAACCCATATTCTTGTACCACTCAGTAATCCACACATAAACATGTATTTCTGCTACTATCTCGATGGACTATTCATTTTGTCTCTTTGCACTGAAGGTGCAGCGTTTCCTTACCCCCTACAGGGCAGTCCCAAAACTCGCGCCCAAAAGCCCTGGCAAGACCAAAGGTCTCTAAGAGCTTCTGCTCCAACCGATGCGGTGGTTTCTCAGGAAACTGAAAAGGGAATGAAAGTATCACCCCAGGAGGCTGATCCAGAGGACACTCCCCAGCGCCAGCATGGCACGGGCACCCCCAGCCCCGCTGCTCAGGTGCTGCCCAGGGCTTCAGCTGGCAGAGTCGGCTCACGCTCCCGCAGCAGCCACAGGGTCTGCAGGGGCAGGGGCTGGGCAAGAGCCAGCCCTGCTCACCCCCAGCCATGGCACCTTCGGGCGGCAGCTCTGCACTCACGGGGTTTGGGACCAGGGACAGGTTGAGCTCTGAGCTAAAACGTGTTCCCCTCCGGAGCTCTGGGTGGAAAACATTTGCAGTGAGGAGGTGCTTCTTTACATACCCCACCTCCAAGGGGGCCTCATGCTTACCCCAGCCCCTCGGCAAGGATGGGTCGTCCCTGTGCTGAGCTCGCTGTCAGGCACAGCATGGACCCAAAAAGCCCGGCATCCCCCAGGCTCACGGTGCGGAGGGTGTCTGAAGGATATAATGGCTGTTTCATCTTTCTGTAATTTAAAACAACCTCTGAGTGAAGCCATTTGTAAAATTACTTTTTAGAGTAACCTTGGCCAACGAATTGGATCTCCGTGCATTTCCTTCGGTTCACACAATGGCATTTTAGAAGGGACTAATGCAAACATTTTTATTTAGAATGTATTCATCATTATTTAAATATCAATACAGTTTTTGCAATAGTTATCAAGAGTTCCCAGTACCAGGGGGAAACGAAACATAGCCACATGCTTGGCTATGTTCAGAGCTTTAGCAAGCCTCTCCATCTCTTAGCTGAACATGCAGGGTGGTATATGTCAGTACAATCAAATAAATACAAAATAAAGCAAATGTTAAAAGAGATGTTTCTCTGTGGGCCTGGAAGTGCCTAACGGAGAACCACAGCCTCCTCCTGCCATGTCAAAAGCCCGGTATGAGAACTGTTGTCTGGACTGGGATGCAGAGCGAGGAATACACGGTTTTCAGAGCAGCAATATCCAACTAAGGAGAGACCAAGGGCTGGGGGAGAGTGTGATACCTGGTACTGCAGCCCAAGACAGCAAGTCCTGCATCCATTTCTTGTGCCTCCAACTGCAGGTCAGTGCCAGTCCCAAAGCCCCCAGTGAAGGCCATGTCTAACCGCAGTGATTAAAAGTAAGCTGCCTTCCAGCAAAGCCCAGGAGCAGTAATGAGACTGACATGTTCCTCCTGCCATCTTCAGGAAAAAAGTGAGTCACGCTACTACTGAAATACAAACTCACACAAATAACATCCTAAAAAAAAAAAAAAAAAAACAGACTTTGTCAAGTACTCCTAAGCAGGTCCTTTCCTCCCCAGCTGTTGCGGTCCTATTCCCTCACAAACTGCTCCACACAAGCCAGGGCAGACAAACCTGAATCCAAATGGCACTCCCAGTGTCAGTAATATACACCCGTCAAGACTGGGAGAGAAGAACATGTTTCTGTTCTGCTCAGCTACAGTATTTAACCTGGGAGCATGAAGGACATAATTAATAATATATGAAATAATTAACCTCCCCCCAAAATAATAGCTCCATACAGCCCTAGGAAAGATCCTTGGCCAGTGTAAACTAGATGCTACAGAGGGAGAAGCAGCTGGAGGGGACAGCTTCCCTGCAATTGTGGCTGTGGTGATCGAGGGAGGCTGTTTGTCTGAAAAGTTTTGGTCTCCCTTCAAGAAAGAGTAGGAGCTCTCCCTACGTCTGATTACTGTAACGCAGCACAGCCCAAGTTCTGAGCAAATACTACTGAAAGCCTAGACATTTGGGAGCTATGTGAACAGCTAAGGACCACAGAAAGTCCTTTCTGTTTAAGCTTTTGCCAATTAGAAAGGGGAGACCACAGTCCCCAACGCTTCCCTTGGCTTCCTCTTTCCCCTGCTCCTTGCTAGGTGTCACACCGCAACGCTGCAAGCCTGGTCCCTCGGTGGGTAGTGCTGGGTCTGAGCCTGTGCTCCCCCACCGCCTCCCTGGGCTCGCAGGGCTCGCCAGAAACACAGCGGACATGCAATGATTGCACCCAGCTTTCATGTCAGACACAGACTCCAGGGCTCCTACACCAATGGAGTCAGAGGAGGGTTTGCTACACAAACTGAGCCTGGTTTGGGTTACAAATGCTGGCTGTTGCATGACATGGGATACAACTGGGACATTAGACAGCTATCGGAGACAGCTCTGTTGCTTCATGCCAATGAATGCTTTTGCTGCCGTATATTCTTGCAAGAGCCCAGCCTGCTCCTGCCTTGCTGCAGGTTCAGGCGCACTGAGAGATGATGTTAGAGTTGCAGTCTAAGGTGTGAGTGTGGCTTCTTTTGCAGTTTTCAGGCCCACAGCCAGCACCAGGCGGGCTGACCAAGTCCAGGTAGTAGGGGGACTTGAGGAAACGGCGGTAAGAATCCTTTTCCATGAGGGTGAATATTTTTCTCTGAGCCTCATCAAAGCAGGACAGTGTAGGCTCCAACATATTGTGGCTCGTCTTCTCCCGTGTGCATGAATCCAGGTTCACCTGTGGGCCAAAGGGACAGTGTAAGTAGGATCTGTCCCAGAAGTGGCTAGCTTAGGTAAGGGAAAATCGAAGCTTCTCTCCACCAAGTGTGCTTCAGCTGTCCTTGGTGGGCAGTTGTCCAAAATGGGTGTTTGACACCCTGTAGCCTTGGCAGAATCTGTGCAGCTGGATACCAACGCATCTCTGCTGCCAGATGAACCGTCAGGGGAGACTGACATATATGTCCCTGGGATGCAGCCAGCCAGGAAACTCGAACAACTGCATGGGAGCAGCTGGAACACCAGGAATCACAGTCTTCTTGGGCTTCTCCCATTTGAGTGTGCACGTGGGATGGCCACATGGTTGTAACTAAACCCACTTTCTCTCTATCCAAGTTTAATACGAAAGCAATAAAAATGACATCGTTTCCTTGCTGACTAGCAGAAAAGCAGCATCCTGCAACTCTTGTGAAACTACCAATCTACTTCCCTGCGCTGCTGGCCTGGTTCAGAATTTAGGGTAATACCTTTGCCCAAGAAATGTTCTGTGCACATACCTCTTTTGTTGCCTGCACTGAGATGAACTCATCATAGATCTTTCTGGCCTTGGGGCTGAGCTTGGCTGGTGACTTGGTTTTCTTGTAGTCCTCACAACTGACCCAGAACTCGATGTTTTCCTCACTGTACTCAGATTTGAGAAAAGCACGGAAAGCAGCCAGTCCTCCTACAGATTGTTTAGAGGAAAACCAAATCAGGTAAGAGAGTTGGTTCCTGGATAGTGATCCCCATGAACCCTAGCAAACAGCAATTCTGTGTTCTGCTTCCCAGAGCTGGATGAGCAGCTCCCCTGGGGCTAGCAGTGAGGATGGCTGCCTGCCTCCACGGCAGTCGCTCATGCATGCCGAGGGAGGCTGGAACTCAAGACAGGCCCCATGGGGATGTCACACATGGGTCCTCAGCTGCCTGCCCCCCCCACTGTGACCTTCACTGTCTCAACCAGGAGAACACAAGCAACTCACGCGTTCCCAGGAGGCCCTGAGGAGGCAGCCAACACACTCCGCAGAGTCTCAGGCCATGGGAACAGTGCAAAGGAAACCTCAAGGACATCAATGTAGCCTGGAACCGATGGGAAGACAAAGTCTCCCATGGGCTCAGCTGCAAAGAGTTTCTCCACTTTTTGGTTCTTGTTTAACCCACTGTTAACTGTGTGCCGCAGTCTTGCCCTCTCTGCACAGGGGCTAAACCAGTTGCTTTCATGAAAGGGACAGCTCAGCAGTAGGTCAAAGCCTCAACCATGACACATTGGCATTGTCCCTTGGATCTGACCAAGAGGACCCTTCACCACCCCTCCCAGAGGCCTATGTGGCCAAAGCAGCTACTGTGTGCTGCTCAGAGACTTAAGATAATGTCCCATACCCCCTCCAGGGACTGCTCACAGCACACACACTCTGCAGGCAGCAAAAGGGCCCTCTTTACTTACTGTCATGATGGATCAAGTTTTCCAAAGAGTCTGCCCATTTTCTGACTTCCTCTTGGCTAACCCTAAAAGGAGACAAAGGGAGAAACACAGGGAAGATTTAAGGGGAGTACAGAAAGGACAAATTTGGTTTTTTTGCTCAGCACCATTAGAAAATCTCTTTCTCTGATTGTTGTAAGAGCATACATGAGACACCAAGAACAAAGTGTCTGTTTGCTTTACAGAGACCCCTGGGATCCCAGATCTAATCTACAGAAATTCCAGTTTGCAATCTCCGTCACCAGCCATGGGCTGGAAAGGAATTTTCCTGGAAAAATTGTTGGGGATTTTGTGTTTATTTTGTGACTGGCTGCATCTCTTGCTGGGGCACAGACCTGGAGTCACTCTTATGGGTCATATCAGTGAACTCCAAAGAGCTGACTTCTTTAACCTGTCAGGGGAACAGTAGCTATATGGAAGAGAGAGTAACACGGGAACTAGAAACACATGGGGAACGTGGTAACACATCCTGCATTCATTCCCCCTACCATACCAGAACATCCTAGGGCTCATCTAGTCCAGGAGCATACCTTGGCCTTTGGAGTCCTCCTTGGAAAGGACACCATCTACTTGCACCTCAGTGAGAGCAGTGATACCCTGACAGGCTGCTCTCTCTGTTTTCTGTGCCAATACCTCTGTGCAGCTGTGTGGACCACCGCACAAATCCAACTCAAAGAGACAGCGATGCTGATTCTGCAATGTGTCAAGTCACACTGGGTCTTGTGATGGCGTTATTCCCCTGCGCAGGAGACTGCACAAGTCTTTCCATGTGCACATGCATATTGAATCACAGAAGTGTTGGCAGAAAGGGACCTCTAGTTCAACCTTCTTCATGGAAAGGGACTATCAATACCTGAGGACTTATATTACCACACTAGATTCAAACACACAGGTGTTCAGGAGGTACTGGGAAGCAGCAGCAGAAACGCTAATGAAGTTCAGCTCAGAGAAGGAGTAAACAACACGTTGCAGCCAGCCAGAGTTTACCTACATCACAGCATCTGCTCCTACCTCTGGCTTGAAGATACTTTCTCCTTCTTGCCCTGGGAAGAGCTGTAGTCACAGGAGTCTGACTTCTGTAGCAAGAAGCCCAGACGATACTTCATGTCTTTGGCACTGAAAGAAACAAATCAAGAGCAAGATGAATATCGTGTGTTACAACTCCCTCTGCAGCCTTCTCACCTGCAATAAGCTCCTTCAGCATTACTCAGTGACACAAATGCAGGTCACTGCTAGTGACTCCAGTGCTGACTTTCCACTCTTCACATAAGGCACATTTCTGTTACTAGACAAATACAACAAAGTCGAAGAAGTCATTTTTCACGTCCAACAGCACCATTTGCTTGCTGAGAAGGTCATCAGCCTGGAGGCAGGGCTGGCAAAGGGGGAAAAGCTGCTGTTTTCCTACTGTTTGCTTACAGTTAAAATATTGTGATAGAAAGGCATCATCGTGCTGTACATGTGTCACTTCTCCTCAAGCAGATTTGCCCAGCGACCAGTGTCTGGTTCTGACACCCTTACTAATCCTTTCCTGCAGCCCTTGCCATCTCCCCACCTCCTCACCCAGCTACGGGAACAGCATGGCCATGCCAGGCCACCCCACCAAGCAGCTGCCTGTGACATAGAGGGAAAGGGAAGAAGCAAAGGACTCGGAGCAGGACCATGGGGTGAGATCACGGGATGAATCAGGAGCTTCAGCACAACCAGCCCACACTGACTGCAAGCTACTCCCCTGCTCCACAGCAAGCTCCTACAAGGATGCATGCTTAATTTTGTTCTGCTTTCCTGCATACTCAGGACAATCATTTTCTGACAGCAACATCATCTAGGTATGCAGCTGCTGCTGGCCTCAGCGTCTCTCTGGATTTCCTTCCAGTTTAAGAATGAGGGCGTGGGTAAATCAGTCCTGCTTGCTCAGGGGTGCAAGCCCTGGCCTGCCGCAGGGTGCAACAATAGTCTGAGCAGGAAGTTCTTCTCCTGCTCCTCAGATCAGAGACTGGAAAAAAGCAAGAGGTTGTGCTGCAGGGCTGAGCTCCAGTAGCTGCTCAGCCTCCCAGCACTGCTCTTTGCTCTAGCCATAGCACCCTGTCAGCAGTCCCGGCCATATCTTATCTCACTGGTTGCCTGTGCTCATAAATGTTTCCTTAACAACTCCAGCAGTAGGGTGAGAGCGAAGGAAGCCCACAGCTTCTGTAGAGCTGGGTGCCTGTGACCAGGGCCAACATCCAAGCCCTGCCCAGGCAGACATCCGATACTCGGCGCTGCCAGACTCGGTCTGCCTCGCTCTCTCATGCTACTTGCCCCCAGAAGGAGACTGCTCAGGTCTGCAGGAGGAAACACGACACTGCTGCTTGCAACTTTCTGGGACAGAGGGACTTTCTTGGGAATCCTGGACAGAGGTTGTTAAAAGATGTGAACATTTTTTTTCTTTGCATTTTGTCAATTTTTTAATTTTTTTTATTTCCCCCATCAAATGTTCTTGCAAATGGGGAGGGGGGTGCGTGTCAATATTTTTTCCTCACATTTTCAGCACTCATTTTCAAATCCACCATGATCCGGGAGCTTTTTCTCCCAGGTGGGAGCAGGCTGAGTCTCACTTCGTGTTTTCCCAACCCTCTCCCACTGCACAGCCACTGGGAAGCAGCCTCAGGAGCGCTCCTGAAGGCATGAGCGGCCAGAAAGACAGCGCTGCGCCATCAGACCCCTGCAAGTTTGCATGGGCTGGATGAGCAGGGAGTTTTGTGGGGCCAGTGCCATTCTGGGGAGCTGGGCCACCCTGCTGGGGGTCTCCAGGCCCCACAACACCTGAAAGGCAGTAAAACCCCTCCAGGAGGGCTCGTGGCCCCCTTGCAAGTATAGAGACCCCCCCTCACGCTGGGCTGTGTCACTGAGGGCACGTTTGGGGGTGCACAGGCTCTGCTCTGCCAGCATGAGGGGTGCCTGGCTGGTGCTGCACACCGGGGTGCAGCCAGATCCTGCACCCACGGCAGGAGTACAGCTCAGCCCATCCTGATCGGCACCGCACAACAGGGGTATGGCCAGCCCCCCAGCAGCCCCACAGAGCTGTGGACCAGGGGTAAAGCCTGACCCAGCCCCTCACCATCAGTACACAGCCAGGAGATACAGGCTGACCCCACGCTGGCTGATGCTGCATCCAGATCTGCGGTGCCCTGGGCTGGCCTGCATCCCTGCCCACAGCCAGGTCTCTGGTCCTGCCAGGCTGGGTTTCTTCTGCATCTGGGATGCATTTTGGGAAATGACCCTCAATCTTTTTGATATACCGTCTGCCTTGCTTCCCCCTCAAAAAAAAATCAAGACAAGAAAATTCAGCGGCGAAAGTATTCAAAGGAGAAAAGGGGTGCAAAGCTTGCGGCAGAAGCAGATGACAGGAATATCAAAACACAGCAATGCTAAGAGCTGCTTGTTTTGCTGATGGGAAGGATGGGATTAGAGTTCCCACAGCTTAGTACAAATCCTTTATGCATTCTGCTTCTGACTAACAGACGGGGGAAAAAAAAAGCCTGTAAGCAATCATTTGTACGTAATCTTACACAAGAATCACAGCGGAATCTGCCACTTCTGCTTCACACAAAGTGCAATACATCAGCGTATCTCCAGACTAACAAGACCATTAACAGATGCTCAGAAATAAACAGTACCTTTTTAAGCAAGTGGCTGGCAGTGCAGCGAGTCCCTTGCACATCTTGCTCCCGAGGTCGGTTCTGTATTCCAGGAAAAACAACGCAGGAGCCGGCAGAGGCTGCGTGCGGGTCCTCCGCTAGTCTGCAGAATTCAGTCTCGTCTCTGAGCCAGCTGAGCTGCCTTGGCTCTGTTTTATAGCCTAGCCCAGACAGCCCAGCAGCACTGGGTGACCCAGTGAGGAGTCAGCACAGCAGCAGCACCCGTCCCCTTTTTGCCCACCCAAGAGGAAGAGGGTGACGTATAAGCCAAGACAAAGGAGTGAGTGGGATTCAAAACCTTACCAGAAATTAAGCTTGGTGTCTGGCTGCAGAGGTGGATTCTTTTAAAAGGACGGAAAAAGCTTCAGGGGCTTTCCTCTATTGCAAAAGGTGGAACGGTTCAGATAAAAGCTGGATGAGATTTTTCGAAGGGGCACAGACAGTAAAAAGGGTCAGAGAATCAATTCTGAGAAGTGAGATGAGCTTTGCTTGTTCCTCCAGCAAATCTCCTCTGTTTAATCTCCTCTGTTCATTTCCCCCTTCTATTTAAAGCAACCTGGGGCAAACAAGGGACGATAATTTTGAACACAAAAGGTTACAGTAATCCCAACAAATGGAGAAACCAGAGCTCTAAGGAAAGAATGGAAATACACCAGGGAACTACCGAGGCAGATGAGACTGTCCTGTTTTATTCTAGAGGCATGTGGATATACGCCTTTGGTGAGGCTGAAAAAAAACCTCTGAGGGGCATATCACTATTGGAATATAAAATGTGTGCGTCCCGGCACACACATATTTGCGGACAGCTCATGTATATGGGTAGGAAAAAGAAAGACAGGAGGCTGACAACACGGCTGCCTTAGGTTTATGGGTATCACTGTAATACCTTACTTCTCCATTTGCATTTACCCCTAATCAAAAGCCAGACCCTGGGACTCGGGGGTCCCCAAGTCTCCAAGGGAAGATGATTAATTAAAACAATAGGTATAACTGCCTGCCCAGAGAGGACTTTGTGGCAGTGTTGAGGCTACTCTGTGCTAAAGGATGAACCCACGGAACACCACCTGGCTGTGGGGATGTTTGGTGGTGACTGCACTGCCTGGCTCTGCTGTAGTCCCACAGGAAAGCAGAATGACTCCAGCTACACCACTTGTCCTCAGCCCTTGGAGGGTGCAGAAGGCAATTGCCACTCTGGAGAGAGAGAATTGGCTGGTATTTATTGAGCTGTGGCTCAGCACAGCCTGTACGATCATTATAAAAGAGGGGAAAGCTTTGGGCAGACAGACATGCATATGGTCTGCTGCACTTCAAGTTTTGCTCCTGCTGTGAAATAAAGAAGCTTCAGTTCAGCCGCAAGCTGTCTGCCCACGCTACCCACTGCTGCACTCCCTCTCCCCAGAAACCTTCAAATGCTTTGCCCACAACCTGCAGAAGTTGCAGGGTGAGCTTTTCCTTCCTGTGTGTTTAGAGTCTACAGCCAGCAGCACAGACAACTCAAATCCCAGACTAGTTTATCTGCCTTGGCATACTGCATCTTCTCAGATCATTAACTGTGCTGAAAGGCAACGCTCTAATTAACTTTAAAATGCTTTTGTACGAATGTGACTGTCCTGTTGGCAAACCTGAGGCAACATGCATGCAAGTCCTGTGCTGCTTGGACTAAAAATCAGGTCCAGCTCAGGGCAGCGTAAAACTTTAACTGAGTGAATCCCCTTGTGTTTTTAGAGTTGGTGAGTTACTAGGACTTGGGTGGATCTGTAGGAAGCAAATGAGCACTGGCAGAGTTGGTGCCAAAGCTCTCTGATGTCTTCTCTTTGGGAAAGAGAGAAGCCAAAGGGCTGAATATAGCCAACGGGAAAAAACTTAACTAATTAATTAATTGCTAAATATTTAATTTAATTAATTTAATTTTAATCTCAAACTTGTGTAATGTTACTGCTGTTCGTGTGCAACTGCAGCACATTCATTCAAGCAATTCAAGAGCTCAGCTGGCTAAACTGACAGCTCTAACCTTGACCTTAACCCTAACCATGGCAGCCAAAGCCTGACCTCCTGGCTCAGGAAGGTCCCAAGGGTTGCTTGCTAGGGCAGGCAACCTCTGTGCAGAACACAGAAATTCTGCAGTTTCTCTGCAAATTGGCACGTAACCAGATTTAGGAATGTCACACTTCTCTGTGGATTGTAAGCACATTCACTGTGTGGCTCTAATGACACTCGAATGCTGGTGTTGTCAGCATCAAGTCACCTCTGCATTCCCCAACTTCTGTGTGAGGATGCTGTAATAAGAAGTTTCTAACACGGCCTTCGCAATAACCAGGCCAAAGGGCTTTGCAACTAAGACCATTCTTCCTGGACTAGGTATGCAGACTCCTAGAACTGCTGCTATTGAAATTTCCCTTTTTCCAGTTCATTAACACAGACTGGTTCAGTCTGGCCCCCAAGCGAGGAGTTTGGGTTTGCATACTGTTCCTCCTGTAAGCTGTGTTTCCCTGCTGTTGCAGTTTAATATCCTCTTAGCTGCTCCAGCTGGTCCACAAACAGAAGTACCCCCTTCCATCTCTTACCCTTCACAGTCAGGCCTCTTCTCACATGGTACAGACTGTGCTGTGCTCAACACCAAAATCTCCTTCTCCCTGCCAGTTAGAGAAGCGGCAGCTCCACCACTGGTTACGCCTGTCACGTCACCTCTGGCTCACTTCACCTGTGGCGTGAAGAAATCAGCAGTGAGGATGGGCTGGGGGTGGGGGGTCCCTGGCCAATATATCTCTTGGCCACGCAGTGCTTCGGAGGCACCCAGGGGCTCATAGGAGACAGCACGATATTAAACGTCTGAGGTTCCCACTGTGGCATCCCTCTTCCCCCACCCACTCGTCCCTGCTGCATCCCCCGCTCTGCCTCCCCAAGCAGCCGGAGACAAGGCTATGAAACGGAGCTTTCCCTCCCACCATCACTGCAAGGGAAAAACGTCACACACATGTGCTCGCCCCCGTACACAAGCGCGTGTGGGATGTGTCCCTCGGCTCAGCTGCGGCCAAGCTGCGGGAGGAGGCAGGGGGAACGCTGCTTCGGTGGTCATTGCCCAGAGCCGAGCTACTACAGGCTGTTGCCCTCCCGACAGCGCGGGGCTCTCCTGCCTCAGTCCCTTCCCATCTCAGAGCAGCGTGCTGTGGGATGCATGAGCACACAAGGAAGGCGGCTGCTTTGCGTCACTGGAAACGGAAAAGGGCATGACATGGGAGCTGTGAGAATGTGCTGCTGGGCCAGAGCCTCTCCTGTCACTGCTGCCTTCCCCAGTCTGCTTTGCAGAGGCTAACGGTAGCCCACTCTTCCTCCTCTTCACGTCTCACAAAACCAGTCAGGCACCTTGGGATCGGGCTGGCAAATCCCCTGGGTGCACAGGGGGACACTGCACAGAGTATTGCCCATCTTTCTCATGGGCATCGCCATCCCAATACATGTCTGGCTCCCGATCTGCTCTGCAGACAGCACTGGTGAGGAACTGGAGCAGCTCCCACACCCCTGAGAAGCACCAGCCAGGGTGGCATTAGTCCCCAAGGCCCCAGGCTGCAGAAGCCCTGCATGGGGAGCTGCCTTGGTGACACTTCTGCCCACATGAGCAGCCCCAGTGCCAAGCCCTGCTGTGGGGAGGGGGCCTGGAGCTGTGCTGAGCTCCCCGACTTCCTTCTCCCATACCCCAGCCCCAAGCACTCTTTGCACAAAATCTCTTCCAGCACAACCACCCACCATTGGTTTCTTCTCCAGTACACCCGTTAGTGGGTAAGATTTCCTTCCAGTAACGAGGGCTGCATCATCTCCACACACACATGCGCTTTGATGGAATTACGGCTAATGAGCTGGGAGCAGAGCGCTCTGGAAGGACCATTTGGGTCTGAGTTTGGATGAATCAGCTCAGCACGTGCCTGTGCCTGACACTGCACGCAGCCACGTTTCCTTTCCCAGGGCACGGACTATGGCCTGACCTCTCTAAAAGACACATGGAGAGACCACGCTTGTCCCCACAGGGTCCCCCAGACAGCACTGGGATTCCCAGAAACGTTGTCCCACAGCATAGTCTGAGGAAATCGTTCTTTCCCATGTCTCTGCAATTCACTGCCCGACTTCATGTGTGACCACAGCCGTGGCCCTCCCAACCAGCCCCCAGAGGCAGCCTTTGAGGAGAGAGCATCTCTTCCTAAATTAACCCCGACAAGAGGGACGACTCACCAGTCTGCCACATGGTTAATTTGCTGGTCACACGGAAACCTTCTCAAGTGGATATACCTCCAGGCTGACCCAGTCACCGTTCTGCTTCTCTTGGGCAAGGCGAAGATGAACTTTTAAAGGCAAAGCAGCTTTGGTTTGTTGCTGTAGTTTCTTGCTGAGCCTGCTCCTCTCTGAAGCGATGCTCTGTAAACATCAGCACATTCATTCAGCACGTTCCTTAGCCCCAACTTCATATAATTCATACAACCAAACGTACAACTTGTACAATTTTCCCATGCTCTCAGGTGTTTTCTACTTATACATGCACCTACAACATCAGTAGATTTTTGTCATTTCTAAGTGCTTGGAAGTTCCTAGTAATTTGGGGGGGGTTGGCTGGGTTTTTATTTGCTTCAACCCTCAGTGTTTGGGCTGCCTACTTCTGTTACTACCCAGAAAAAATATTTCATCTTGTATCAAAGGAAGAATTTTGTTCAGCCCAAATGGACTTTTTTTTTTCTCCTGGTTCGGGTTTCCTGGTGAAATAAGTGGGTTTTTTTTTGTCTGGCTATTGTTCTTGTTTGTGGGCATCAGACAACAGAAAAAGCTGTAATTTGAGTAATTTGCTTTCCAATTTCCCAAATCTCTGCCTCATCATCCATCTTAACAGCCCCTTATATATTTCCTCTTAATCACTAAGAAAGTTTTGAATAACACTGGATCACAAACCAAGCCAACATATGCCTGTTCACTGATGCTTTCCCAACACTAAAAACACTTTGAAATGTCTCATTTAGCCACTTTTAGTCCATCTAATATGGATTTTATGACATTTTAAGCCAAATATTGATAGCAAGTCATATTCATTTATAAATCTATTTTGCCACCACAACTCCCTCATAAAAGCACTATTAAGCTCATTAGGAAAGGTCTATATTTCCATTAAATCACATCAGCTGGTATCAATTATATCACCACCTTTTCAAATGAGTCTGCTACCGCCCATACTAATAGTGCTTCTGCACTGATCAAAGGTTAATAGCTCTGTGACTACATAGCTCACTGCCTCTTAGAGCATGGCTTTCTTTCAGTCTCCTTTTATTCTAAAATGTATGAAAAAGGACCACTCTTTGTCCGGAGAAGTCTTTAGCCTATTCCTCCAAGAATCTTAGAGCAAGCCAGTTGCACTTGGTTGATATAAAACCGTATAGATCATCCCCAGGGCTGCATAGCCCCCAGGCAGGGACACACTGGTCTTTTGCGAGGGACACCGAGCAGATGATTCCACTGTGTCCCAGCTCTGCCTGCAGCTCCTCTGGAAGTCTCCCAGTGCCAGACCCCAAAGCTGCCGTTGCTTCTTCTGTCCCTGAAACGTGCCTGGGGGTGTGAAGCAGCTGGTTTTGCCCTGCCTGTGTGCTGCCAGCCCCTCTTCAGCCCACACACCCTGGCTGAAGCACGGCACTAGAGCTGGGGCTGCTGCTGCTGAACAAAGGCGGCTCTAGTGACTGCTCACCGTGAGCAATAATCTCACCCTTGACAGCAACCAGGTCTAAGTATTTTCAC